CCATTTTGATGTAGTTACGTGGTGTTGAAGAAGATGGAGCTCTGCAGCTCGATTGTGGTTGGGGTGGGCCCGTGCTTACGCGAACAAACTTCTGATAGGTGACTGTACTTGCGGGGTAAGTAGACTCAGTTTCCCCGCATTTTCAGGGGCACAAAAGAGATGATTATCAACACCCTAGTTGTCTGATACAATAATAGTTACGCGTCTCGTAGATGGAAAACAAACAAACAAACGTAGCATCTTCAATAGTCAGATACTCAAGACACATTTCCCCTGTTTCATCTATCGCTGTACATGGCTGATTTGCAGACGGTCAATTATTTGCTCGTTCGCTGCAACGCTTCCCACACTTTCATGATATACGCACACCGACACTACGCCCACTTTGACCACAAAACCTCTTCTTCATACCAAACACACATCCGGCTGTCCATGTATACTTCGTCCTCACCCAGCCTACTTTGCTCACACACTCCGTACCAATACACTCCAAAACACACAAAAACAACCATCCTTTGCTTCCTCATCCGTCATAGTATTACTACCCCAACAAAAGACCGACTCGCCAACCAAACAACACTTTTTCACGCGAACAAGACCACACTGGTGAGACTCGTCGGCCCTGCTAGTCTACTCGCCGCCAGGCCCATCGCTGAGCATGCCAACACACAAGAGCAAATGACGACCGCATTTTCTCCAAAACAAAAAAGCTCAGGGTATCAGGAAGTGGCGTACGACTAAGCAAAATCGGCAGAGTAGGAGAAACCACGGAACTCTTCTTGCATGGCTTGTGAAAGAACTAGATTTGTTGTCAGCAAAATTTCCCAAACATGACATGGCTACACGGGTCCACATACCAGACTGCACAGGTGTAAGCACTGGCGTCACACTCGTAAACTCGGTATCAAAATTGCTCGTGTCCGTTGGGCTCGTAATCTGTGGAATAAATGGTGGCTGTACTCTCTTGTGGTAGATGTCGTCCCAGTTGATGTTCCTGAAGAAGGCATGAGACATGATCTCCTGTGCATCAGTCGGTCCAGATCCTAGACGCATCTCAGGCTCACGGGTGAGTAGCTTCTGTAGAATTGATACAGAGTCACGCGGCATGTGGATGGGGTAGAGCGGCTCGTCGGCAAGAATGGCGTCGTAGATTTCGTCTTCGTCCTCACCACGGAAAGGCGACTGCTGAAGAAGCATCTGGTAGATAAGAACACCAAATGCCCACCAGTCAACTGCGCGTCCGTACTTCTTATCCAAGAGAATCTGGAGGATCAAACATTAGAAATGGTCGTTTTGGGTTAAAAATGCGACTTACTTCTGGTGCCATGAACTCAGGAGTACCACAGAATGTGCTGGTGGTTGAGCCATACCACATCTCCTCTTTACACAGACCATAATCGGCAACCTTGATGTGTCCGTCAAGAGTCAACATGATATTGTCGAGTTTCAAATCTCGGTAAATGACACCGTTCTCATGGAAGTACTTGAGGGCGAGGCAGACTTCGGCCGCATAGAACCTGTTCTAGCGTTAGCAAGTGCTTCTTTACCCATATAGTGAAAACGTACTGTGCGCGTTTTGTGCCGAATTGCCCACGTTGAATGTGCAACATCAAATCACCACCACTGATATACTCCATGACGAAGTAGACTCGTGTCTCAGTTTGGAAACAGGCGTGGAGGTTCAGCAAAAAGGGATGCCTCTCCTTGTTGGCAATCAAGAACACTCTCTTCTCCGACCGCGTACTCTCCACTTCATCGTTCTCGATAATAAATTCCTTCTTCAGAACCTTGATGGCGTAGAGCTGCTTGGTGGTCTTGGTTTCAGCCAACATGACCTTTCCAAAGTTACCTTTACCCAAAACAGCAAGGAAGTTGAAGTGGTCCAATCCTATCCTCTTGCCAGTACCCTGTGTGTTGGCTGCGGGAGTAACCTTCTTTCCTGGCGCTTCTCCCACTGCAGATGGTGGCGGCTGGGTGAGCGCCTGCGGCTCCGGCATCTTTTGTTGCGCAGGCGTTGGTTGCTGCGGATGTTGTGGTGGCGATTGTGGTGGCGGGGGTTGAGGCAGAGGATAGGAGGATTTCGTTGGGTAGGACGGCACGGGTGCGGGCTGTTGGTGACTTGGTGGGTAGCTTGGAATGTTGGCGTAGACTGATGGGTCATAGGCCGCTGGTTGGGGTGCTTGCTGCTGTGACATACGTTGCTCTGTTGGATATCCACTGCCAGATGATCGTCCGCTTTGAGGTGAATAATCTGTGTTGCTGCGGCCATATCCAGGTTGTGTGGCTTTGTTCATTGCTGCTGCGGCCGCAGCTACTGAAGACTGAGTGCGTGGGCCCGAAGGGGGTCTCGATCCCGAAGTCGGCGATGTAGGAGCTCCAGTGGATCCCGTTCCCGTTGTTGAGTAAGAGGCGCGCGCAGCATCAACTGAAGTTGCTGATGAAGGATAAGATGGCTGTCGTGGCGGACCGGGTGGAGGACTCATTTGTTCCTTGCCGTAGGAGTACCTGTCGGATTGGGTTGGTGATTCCTGGCCTGGCTGTCCAGGAGATTGAGGCTGCGTCGATGGCAATGGCTTCGCTGCCGATTGCGGTCTCAGAGTGCGCTGGCTCATACCAGGGCCTGATGAAGATTGACCTCTTCTGGTTCTCTTAATCTCCATTAGAATCTGGTTGGCGACTTCCATGGACATTCCGCAAAAGTCTGGTACAAAGTGAACGCAGTGAGCGTGACAAGTGAGGCCACATTCTGCAATGAAGTTAGTATGATATTAGAGCTGGCGGCCATGTCGAGATACTCACCATTACACTTCTTAGTCTGCTTCCGGCCAAGCGGAAGAACGTAACCGCAGTGACAGCACCAATTGGCACCCATATTGGAAAAGTTCTCGAAACGATGTGGAATTCGGTGGTTGAGCTTTGCCTCGTCGGGATCGGTCTCGGCATTGGACTGGGTGATACACTTTGTGACGACTTTGGGATAGCATTTCTTGTGGCAAGTATAATTGCAGTCGGAGCATTGCATGCCTGCAGCATACTTGAGAAATTCGGCACAGAGAGCGCAGCGCATGACGTTGTAGAACTGCTGTTGCACAAACTTGTGTCCATACTGCTCGACCACATCCTCTTTGCGTTGACGGACAGCACCCTTACGACCGAGACCAAGATCAAAGGGCTGCTTGTTGCCTGTGTTCTTGACAAATGACATGGTGAGATGGATGCGGCCAACCGGCTCCAGTGAGAACCAGTCATCAATCATGATAGGCCCAGTTTGCGGCTGCGGTGCCCCAGGCGGTCTCACACCGGCAGGAGCAGGACCTCCACCAGGACCGCCAGTGGGGGTTTGTCCTGGGGGTGGCTGAAACTGCATGTCGGGCTGGATTCCAGTGTGGCCTCCCATCTTGTCAGCAGCGACCCAACCAGAGTTTGCAAGCTCCGTCTCAATCTTCTTCCTGCGCATCTCCTCGGCAATATCGGATATGCGTACCCACAGCATGCCAATGGGCAGAAGATGGTCGCCCGTCTTGTCGTAGACTGTGATTTCAATCTCATTTGCCTTGTCGATGCTGAAGTCGTGGACTTCGTCGGTCCAGCGGTCGTTTCTTGTTGGCTTGGTACGGCCTTTGATGGTGTCCTCGACCTTGATGTTGACGAAGGTTTCTGGGCCCCGACTAAAGCGCCCAGTGGCTGCGTGATCAACATCGGCAACAGCGTGTATGCGCAGAGACAGTTGTCCGCTGAGGGGTTTTCTTTGGCTGGGAATATCGAGACTATCGTCTGTACGATGGTCAGTCTTTGGACGAAATTGCAGCTTCTTCCTTTGTGGAGCTTACTATCGTCGCCGTCACCGTCAATATCAACATGAAGATCCTCGTACCGCTTCAGCGAGTGCTTGAGCAGCTGGATCTTCTGGTTACTCTCGATGCGCTTGGCCTCGGCATCCTGCTTGCTCTTGCGGTCGCCTTCCATTTGGTATAGGCGAACCATCTTCTCAATGCCATCCTTGTACTGTTTTTCTACACTGAGCTTGAATTCAAGTTGGGTCAGCATGAGCTGGATGCGGGGACCGAGATGCGGGGTGTCGTATTTGATAAGGTCTGCACTTGTTAGCATCGCATATGGCGGGGAGGGAGTGGCAAAGGCATGTACCCAGCTTGCTGTAGTTGGGGCGTTTGTTAGCTGTGCCAGGCGGCGGTGCGGCAAAAGGCGCGCGAGGAGGCTGCAGAGCGTCGCCGCCGCTGAGCTGGCTGTACTGGCTCTGAGGCCCGCCGTAGCCGCCCTGGTCCTGCTGCGCGTAGCCGTCCCAGTTGTCCTTTGGCGGAGGGGTCAGGGGATTGGTGGGGGAGCGGCCTGGCTGCAGATTCATGCTGTCGACGCCCGACGTGGTGCGCTGCAAGTCGAGATCGCGCAGCTTGGACTCGAAGTAGTCGATGTTGCGGCGGCCGTCCTTGATCTGGCCGTCGAGGCGCGAGAGGACGGCCGGGTTGTTGGTCGACTGGCGCATGGCATTGGCGGCGTTGATCAGGGCCTTTTCACGGTCGATTTTGCGCTGCACATTGGCAACGGTCTCCTCGACGTTGGCCATGGCGAGGACGTGGTGTGGAGGAGGATTCGGCGAAGAAGGCGGGTGGGGGGAATTTCTTCGCCGATGGAGGCAACGGCGTGCTCAGGTGCCTGGCCGTCGCTGGGCTGGCTGGGGGGGGGAGGAGGGGTGCGCCGGCACTGATACAGACCGACACTGGGGGGTGCAAGCAGGCAGACGGGCAGACGGGCAGTCTCTGGGCGTGGAGGAGCCGCTGCAACGCGTCTTGGAGCGAGCGATGGGGCGCGCGTCCAAGAGAAGAGTCGGGTGGAGAGGCCTGGGGTCAATGGCGGCGGCGGTATGGTGCTGCTGTGGTGATGTCGTCGGGCAGACAGCGATTTAGCTCACGCATAAGGCGGCTTAGCGGAGCCCCACTTTGCTCCCCCCTCTCTGCTCTCTCTCTGCTATTGAGTGCAGTCAGTGGCGTCGCAACGGGCGCAGACTGTGGCTGTCGTGTCGTCCTATTATTTCTATTCGTCCTCGTCCTCGTCTTGGTCTTGTCCTTATCTATCTCCTGCTCTTGCTGGCCCCTGGGTGGTGTCGTGTGCCTTTGTCAGCGTGTTGGGGCGGCATAAATCAGACAAGGCGATATGGATGGTATGACGACGCGACGGTTGGGGGGCGGGGTGAAGACGAACGCTCCTTCTCCCTCACTCGCTCACCGTCACATGCGACTCGGGCAAGCACCTGCCGACGACACCAACATGATGCCTCTACTCTCTAGTCATGCCACCTCGTACTACTACCCATCGTCGCCTCCCCCCTCACATTGTTCGCATCGCCTTTGTCCCTCGTATCTGCTCGACGGCACATGGCCTCGTTTTTGCCCAATTGGGCACCGACGCTCGGTGTGTACAACGCCTGATGCTCTACTTGTACGAGTCTTGTCTTCGCCGCCAAACTGCACATCCCACCTTGCACAACCCTCTGAAACTAATATCAGGGGTGCCATCCCTTCTTACCCATTTTGCATCAACTGCTCTACTACAGCTACCTATAGCAGGCGCCTTTGCATTGCACTCACCCAAGTCATGCGCTCAAACTACTAGACGTCTAACCAAAGTTTTGACGTCGTTGAACGTCAAAATGTCACAACACCTAGCAATACCGTCAGCCGAAACCAAAAAATTAACAAGTGCCAACGTTCCTTCTCCCTGACTGATGTTCGTCACGTGGCCAGCCCAGCCTATACTCACAAGCGACTGGAGCTTGGCCTACCGCTTTCAACCACCATTCACAGCTTTCTACACAACTCTGCAAACTATATAAGAATCCCATTCAACCATAGTTAAAGATCCATCTCTGCAAAAGCAATAGTCCAAGTAGAGGCAGCCCAGTGGCGCGTCTCACAAACGGCCAAGCGACCACTAGGCTACTGATCTGCTTAGCCGGCAATTCATCTTCCGCGAATTGTGGAGAAGCTCGCCAAGTTCACCTTAAAAGATTGAAAAGTCAAAAGCGCGCATTGGTCCTTGTGCCTACATTCTCTCCTACAAAAGCAAGCACATGCCTGTACCCGCATTAAAAGACCAATAAATCACCCCGGACCCGGAAAATCACCAATCCTTCCATCTTGCACACTCCTGCAAGGTTCCACTGCCTGCAAAGATCACACCCACTTACGAAATGTCCCTGTAGATCATATGCAACTTCACGTCTTGGACTTTGCTTCATACTCCGTCGTGAGAGCAAACGGACAATTCAGGTGCATCTTTTCTGGAGACTTGCCTTTTTTAATCTCTACCAATGGCTTCCGCAATATGTCTTCCTCAAGACCACCCCCATCAATGGGAGACATATAGCGCCAACTTCAAACTCAACTACTTAATATTCACGTGCTTTCTCATTCTTCAGGTGGTTTTCGCACTGCAGGTCCTATGGCAGCTATATCACCATGGCGGTCGACCGCTTCATTTGTCTTCTGCAGATACCAATGACTTGGCCATCGAGTCATGATCTAAGAGTGCCATGGTACCGTGGTTCTGGTAAGTTACAAAAAGCGACTCGGCACTTTGCACAGCGGTTCAGTAGCCGCTTTGGCGTTTTTGGCTGACTCCAATTGCCTTGGTTTTGACCCTGTTTAGATATTCGAGTCGACAAGCGTGCAATACGTCCAGCCCCATACCAAATAGGGCTACCTAGGGTCCACCTTATGAAACCAGCCATTCAGCGTCATTTATACAAAAGTGTTCGTGCTTTGCGATCTTCGACAGTCACACATGATTGCGGAATGGACAATACTGGCTTCGCCTGCGGAACGGGGACCTCCCACTGCTCCACAGTCTGTGAGACACTCACTTCCCTTTCAGGCCCTCCTTCTGTGCCGTGTCAAGTAGCCGTGTCTGCGTGGCGCATCTTGAAGCCTGCAGTTCTTTTGGAAGGAGGGAATGATCATTTCACACAATGTTGTTACAAGTTCATGGTCGCCTTATCTTTTTCTCATGGGTGTTTACACTAATCCATTTATCCAAGCCGCTCACCATAGGGCGTCCCGTTCCGAATGGGCAGGTCAGGGGATGGAAGATCTTTTCCTCGGACTTTTTATGGGGCACGTCAGAAGCGAGTATGTGGCTTATGCAAGGCTTACTAGTGACAACCACTAACACCCGGGATCATCTCCCGACGTGGCGAACCCTCGACCCGACCCAGACACTCTTATGAGCTGTAGATATGAAAAGTCTGGAGAAAGTTGAGCGGGAGTAGATGGAATATACCAACCGAAGGTTTCTCAATCCGTCATCTGCAGGGCATGCAACCAGATAGTTAAGCGATGAAATCTAAACACCACACAATAACAGTGAGCTAGTATTCTGTCTGAAAAAAGAGGAACACTATGGGAAGTGTGGCACCACACCCGCTAAACCTTCACTCTTCAATGTGTACCTTTCGCGGTACCTGCGTTTTCTCGAGTCCAGACGCGAGCATGTTCCACATGTATGGGTCAGCCGCTCTTCCCACACCGGCCGCCACTTCAGGCCACCCTCACCAACCATCATAACGACGTTCTCGACGGAGCGGAACATGGTTCTATTCCAGTAATTGTTCGCCGTACCTGACAGGCCGTATCCCAGAAGCCCTCTCACGATTCGACAAAAAATTGGATCCCCGTGGGTCTTTTACTTGGCTTCTGGTGTAAGGCCAATGTCGAATTGTTCCATCATCTGAAGCGAGTCGTAATTTGACATGGGGGATCTTCAACAGCACCCCGACATGCATCCAATCTCTCTTCATCCATCTCTGAGCCGATCTATTTTATATTCCCCATCTTACTTTGCCTTGACCCCGGATGGCAGGTCCTGAACATCACTTTGCGCTTGCATCACTGGCAGATTGACGTCCTTTGAGAACACTACATAGTCGTTTATAACCTCCGCGGACCGCCTTTTTCACATTTGTTGCCACTCCTATTTCCATAGGAACTCGAATTCAGGGCAAAGGATCCAACATGACTTACTTCGAGGACAAGGCACCCAACCTCGCTGCCTCAATTATCGCACTGGCTGTTGTTGCATACATGACATTCGGGCTGCGAGTCTACACAAGAATTCACAATCAAGCTTGGGGTCTTGATGATTGGTCTATGACTCTAGCGACTGTAAGTCACTCCTTTGTAACTTTGGCGGTAGGAGTCATGCTGACAGGACGCTTCCCAGATTCCCTTCACGGGCCTGACAATATCGTGTATCGGCGGTGCATTCAGCGGCGTCGGCATTCATGACAACAAACTCAGTCCAAGCGAGAAGGTTCAGGGAATGCAGGTATGTGCCTGTTCATTGACGTGACAATTTATACTAACAGTCTCCAGTTTTTCTTCTTCTTTGAAGTCTTTTACTGCGCGGCAATCATCCCGATCAAGCTGAGCATTTCCTTTATGCTGATCCGAATCGCTTCGCGGAGGAAAACATACATTTACAGCCTGTATGCTGTATCTGCCATGTTCGTCATCATGAATCTCATCGCCCTGCTGTACATTATTTTCCAGTGCGCTCCCGTGTCATACGCTTGGGATCAGTCAACACCTGGAGGCAAGTGTAATCCTGCGCAGACACTTGCCGATATCTACTATGCGACCACGGCAATCAACATTGCAACGGATTGGTTTTGTGCCTTGCTGCCCATACCGTTGCTGTGGAACGTGCAGCTTAACCGCAATGCTAAGCTTTCCGTCGGCGTTATTCTCGGTCTAGGAGCCTTGTAAGTCTTTGTTCCCCCTGGCTCGCTTATTTCATGAACATGATCGCTGAACGAATGCTCCACACAGAGCCAGTTTGTCTGCATGCATTCGCCTCATTTACACGGTGAACCTTACGAGTTCGACTGACTATCTCCGTGAGTTCCACTTTCCCTATCTCTTTCCCTTGTCCCCCGCACACACTAACACACCCGACAGACGGTGTAGCCGATGTCATTCTCTGGGGCTATGCCGAAAATGGCGTCGGAATGATTGTAGGATGTGTCGCCACACTCCGTCCTCTACTGCAGCGCGTCCTCAAACTCGGTAGCAGCGGCAGTAGCGCAACCCCACAGACACCCGCAGCAGGCTATGCAAAGCGACCCGCTGTCAAGAGCCATTTGACCGGCAGAGACGAGGAATGGGTCGCGCTTGAAGATGGCCAGACGGTAAACATGGTGCGTGGACAGGGTAGCGTCGGAAGCGAAGAGTTTATCCTACCGTCCAAGGACTACCGCGGCATTCACGTCACCAGCACAGTTGAGCAGCGAACAAGCTCACTGAAGCTGTAAGCGATACTCATAAGACTTTAATTCTCATTTAAAATGATATAGGCATTTTTAGAAGGATGAAACCAGGGAAAGCAACAAGAAAAGTTTACACATACATGATAGAAATGACGATACATTTACCACCTGCCAAATTAAGAATTCTCCCCGAAGTGGTAGTAACTATCCTTACAAAGTACCAACAAATCTGTACCTTGCAGGCAAGCCACCAACAACAGAAGAAGAAGAAAAAAGCACCACCCCCGGTACATCCCACCCGTCCGAGCCCCCGTCCTCCGTTCCCAGCCCGCCACATCCATGCCCACGGGCCCGCAACAAGAAATAGGAAAGAGACAAGACACATCACCACCCACCCACTCCCAAATCCACCACCCCGATATATCCTGGTATTCATGCACATACCTGTCGCACCATCCACCACTCTACATAACCACACATGTATTACAACACACATGAAAGATGATGGAACGCACATACATATATAAAGCGCCAAACCCGGCAACCGGGGGCGTGGTTTAAAAAAGAAAAAAGAGAGAAAACGGGCGGCTCGCGTATGTACCGTTGGATGAGCGTTGCTTTTGCGTCCCGTCACTGGGCTAACGGGGCGGGAAGGGGGGGGGGCAGGTTTTAAGCGAAAGAAAGAAAGGAGGGTGCAGGATGCAGGATGCAGGGTTGGGTAGGGGTGCAAAGGCAGGAGGCAGAAGCGATATTACAGGATTTGATATTTTGAAGGTGCGGGTAAGGATGGTAAGGGGAAGCGATATTATAAGATCAGACGGGTGAGATGAGTGTTGGTGTCTGGGTTTTTTAACTTGAAACATGTTACTGAGGATTATAGGCCTTTTTTTCTACTATATGTTGGACTGGGGTTAGGGGAGAAGTGGGTGGCATGGTGGTGTGGAAGTGGTAGGCTGGGAGGTACTAGGAGTCGGGCCGAGGATACTGGGTACGATGGAGCGAAGAGTGGTGGTTTTGTGGAGGTTGTACGGGAGGCCAGGAGGGTTCGTAGGCGGTATGAGGGGGTGTAGTTATGAGATGGTGGGTTTGGGCGAGAGGTGTAAGGAATGTGGGGATTGCGTGCGGTATGTGGGTGTGGGTGATGGCTCTTGAGGAGAGGTTGCTGTCGCTGTTGAGGGATGGCATCAATGATATGATTTGGTATTTTGAAAAATTGAGACGGGCGGGTACATTCGGTAGTTGGGTTCTGGTATCGTCTCCTGGATAGCATAATAGCTTGACAAGAGTTGGTTGCGCAGAGTGGCTTGGTGCAGCTGCTTTGTGCTAATTCCATTGGTGATCCTGTAGAATTTCAGTCTTGGAGAATTGAACAGCCAAATAATGCACGATGTTTTGTTGGAGGGAAGTGGCACAGCCTGGGTAATGATGTTTACAGGGATGCAGAATAAGCAAGATGCAAGCCTTAGTAATGGGCTTTACGAGCCTTCTTTGGTTTAGTATGGATTTTGCCAAACTTAACAGAATGGCTTCTAATTGTATAGATAGTTACTATGGGTCAGGATGCTCTTATTCGAAGACTGTCTATCACTTATTTTTGATGTGACACCCAAACAATTGTCCGGGCTGTACCTTGTACTATTGTATTGACATGCAGTAGCATTATCATATGCACTGTTACTAGCAATTCAAAATACCAAGTAGTTGTTGTAAAATGGTAGTACTTGTGTTGTGTGTCAAACTCTATTTCCCGGTGGGGTAATTCCGCCAAGCGCCTGCTGCCTACAGTACTAGTGCGACTGCACGACTACGATATAAAAGGTGTTGTCTCGACCGCATCCCCACGTTGGAAAAAAGCAAATTTTTTCGACTCAATTTACTCCAGGGTCATCTCTTCCCTCGTCTCCCACGATCGTAACTCGACACAACGCACTGTCTCTCGCATCCCGGCCATCCACTCGCATCTGGCCCACCACGCCGAGTGACTACTGATTTGTTTTAGACCCTCCTATAATGGCAAATCTTTCTGGTAGCGTCTTTGGCGAGACTCTCCAAACAATTACCAGCACCAAGTTAGAGGAGCTCGCAAAGCAACGCATCAGCTTTGAGGACAAATATACCAGACTGCTCGACTCTGTGAAATTAGAAAAAGACGCGTTGAAGCGAGTTGGCATCCTACTTGACGGCTTGAAGGAATGCCTTGGCATTCAGATCGTAAAGAGCTCTACAGCTGGGGGAGGTGTCCACGTAATTATCAGCGGATCAAGGAACACCGGCCTCGAAACTGATCTCCGGAACTTGCACCGTTTTATTGAGCAAGCTCGCTTTGACCCTTCTGTGTCAAGTAAGGTCATCTTGGATTGGGAAAAGAGACTGCTTCAGTACCTTTCAATTCAGTCCACCAAGTTCCAATACGCCGACCTCTACGGGAAGCTCGTCACAGAATGGCTCTCCTCCGAGAAATCTGCAAACAATGATGGCGACGTTGAGATGGCGGAGAGCTTTGAAGAGGTACCCGGTGCGAAGAAGCTTGCTACTCGTGCGGAATGGGAGAAGAATGTGTTCCAGGCGGCTGAAGTAGATGAAAAGGCACTACGGCTATATCTCAAAGACCTCTTTGTCAAGGATAAGAAAGAAAGCACCTCAGCAATCGACGAGTTGCATAAAAAGGTCCAAGAATTCGAAAAGAATCTAACTAGGTCAAACCAACTTGACATGTTTTCACTTCGTCCGGTCATTGAAGGATTACAAAACTCCGATCTGCTTTCAAACGAAAAGCGGGAAGCGTTGAGAGATTTTCTGGGCAACAGTCAGTATAGTCGATACTGGCGAGGCACCCCAACTAACACTTGTATCAGATGTAATATTGACAGAAGTCTGCGATATTCTCAATGTGCGCTTGGCAGCTCTTGAAAATTGGAACTGGGGCCCGCATGTCCTAGTGGAACAAAGGAGGAAGATCAATGGCGAATTTTCGATCCATCTGGATCCTGACCTTTTGCAAGCGATTTTCCTTCATTACATCGGCGTACAATGGTATCTTCGCTCGTTCCCAACCACTTTAACACAACTAATAAACTTCGATTAGGTCAGTGTTCTTCAAATCCGCATTTAGAGACTTGCATAAGCACGAGGCTTGGAAGAGCTCTTCTACTGAGGTCGGCAGGGATGAGCGCTCACAGCGCATGTACTTCCTTGGTAAAAAAAGTACGAATGCTTCAAAGAGTCTCGAGGAGAAGCGAAAATGCACGCATGACAACAGATACTTTGCATATCAACTACTGGACTTTGACGCACAGCAAGTCGAGGTGGAAGAAGGTGAGGAAGAAGCAGAGTACGGGGAATACGCTGTCAACAAACGAGACATCGTGGTGCATGACCTTGCGGCAAAGCGACCTATGAAATCCGCGGTTAGATCGCATTTCGCTGCAAGGCGTCTGGTTCCTGAAGCTGAAGTAGACGAATCTGATGAGGACGATGAAGACGAGATATTCTCGGAGGATTCGTTTCAACACGAAGACGAAATTTACCGTGGTCAATCTAAGAAACCTATGGAATCAAAGCAGAATCTGCTTCATCTTGTCGCCACAGAAATCATTTTCAATACCCGGCTACATGGCGAGTTTACTTGCCTCCATACGACATTTGATTCCTGGAACTCACTTCTACCGCATCAAACAATATCCGCAGTCCTCGAATTTCTCGGTGTATCAAAGAAATGGATGACTTTCTTTGAGAGATATCTACAGGCTCCATTGAAGTTTGCCGACGATCCAGCATCTGAGCCACGTTTGCGTAAGCGAGGCATGCCGAGCTCTCATACATTGAGTGATGTGCTGGGCGAAACAGTACTCTTGTGCCTGGACTTTGCTGTCAATCAGGCCACCGGCGGTCCAGATCTGTATCGCCTCGGCGATGATGTATGGTTTTGGAATAAGGATTACGAGACATGCGTGAGCGCCTGGGCCAGCATTCTGAAGTTCACCGAGATCATGGGAGTTAGGGTGAGTTTTAGACTAATGAAGGATCTGTCGTGGTGTCTAACGAAAAAACTAGCTGCACGAGAAGAAGACTGGCAGTGTGCGAATCGCACAAAACAAGGAAACGGAAATCGATGAACGTCTTCCCGAAGGTGAGATTCGCTGGGGTTTCTTACAGCTTGATCCTAAAAGCGGCCGGTTCGAAATCGACCAACGCATGGTCGATGGACATGTAGAGGAATTGCGCACGCAGCTGCAAGGCAAATCGAAGAGTGTTATCGACTACATTCAAGTCTGGGTATGTCATACGACTCGAATGACTGGTTTCACAAATTACTGACTCTTGATATCAGAACTCGTACGCGGCTACATTCTTTAGCTCGAATTTCGGAAAAGCTGCCAATTGCTTCGGCCGCGAACATGTCGATAAAATGCTCGCTACTCACCGCCACATTCAGGAGCAAATATTTCCCAATGGCAGCATTGTTCAGCAGATCAAGCAGATGATAGACGAGCGCTTCTCAGTGAAAAACGTCCCTGACGGCTTCCTTTTCTTCCCAGTCGAATTAGGCGGCTTAGACCTTAAGTCACCGTTTGTGCACCTTTTGCAGATCCGTGAGTCTGTAAGAGAAAACCCTTACCACTTGCTCGATGAGTATGAGCAAAACGAGCGCGACGACTACGCCACTGCCAAACGCAGATTCGACAATGCCGATCCGGATACTATGCGTCGTAATGCCGATGATTCAGCCTTGCAACGTAAAAACATCGATGAGTTCTTCTCTTTCGAAGAGTTTGTCAAGCACCGCGAGGTTTTTGGAACATTAGGAAAGGCAAGCTTAGTGAAGACTTACAAGAAATTGCTGGAGCAACCGCAGGAAGAACCTGTGGCTCTCAGCACATCAGTTGGGCAGGCTATAACTCATCTATCGAGTCAGAGCAATCTACGAGGCATCCTTGGTAATTGGGCGGCCATGGATGCTTATTGGAAGTGGATCGCACAGATGTATGGCCCGGAGATGATCGACACGTTCGGGAGTCTAAATGTTGTCGAATTTGGATTGCTGCCTATTGGTATGGTGTCGATGTTTAGACAGCGTCGTACCAAATGGCAAGGCTGAATGGACTGATGAGTGTTTCAAGTTGAGCAGATCGTTTCTGTTTTTCGAATAGCATGGCTGTAAGGAAGATACCTGCGGTCTTCATTGTTGACCGTAGAGCGAGTATCTGCCCGTACGGCTAGGCACTTGTGCTACTCTCGCTTTGCTAGCGTAAAATAAATCTCGTACTACCGGAACATTAGTCAGAGGCTGGCGGGAGAATAAGCTCAACGGGACGGGTAATCCGAACATCTTCCCCGCATCCGCTCTTGTTTCACCCTTTTATTCATCTTCTGTTCCTGTCACTCTCAATCTCTCTTTCGAAATCTCTCATTTTGCCAAGAAAAGTAGCTGATCCTGTGTGGAGCACGTCACGCTATCGATACTTGAGAATGCACTCCCCGTCACTGCCACTCTGTGTACCTCACATGCTAGCAAGACTTTGAAGAAGCCGACCATTGGTTATTGAAAGCCACGGATCTTTCAGTGAGTGCCGACATAACCTGTTTGTGAACTGACTATTGGTCAACTTGTTTGAATCGTAGCGATGACACATTATTATTGCGTCAGCCCAAGCAACTTTACGTTGTCAGTCCTTCTTAACATCATGAAATCGGATTCAAGAGGAGGAAACATTTTTAGAAAAAAGAAATGAAAATACAGTCGAACGTTGTTCCATGGTTTTCAGAACGGGCGCTGGCATTTCATCACACGGACATGCGGGCACCGGTAAGATATTCAGATGCCAGAGCAGAACTACAGGACCCTTAGCATCCCAACGCGATACCCCGCTGACCCGCTGGTTGTCACGGCTAGAACGTTGTCTCAAACCCCACGGGACGTGGGTCGAGCCTTTTTTTTTGGCGGACCAGTTCGTCATTGGCGAGGGTTCATAGGCTGGCACTGCCCACAATTACCGGCAGACGGCCACACAGAAGCGAATCGCGTCCCTGCAAGCTGTCAACAACCAACCAAACAGTCCCGCGGCGCACTCCAAGATCCTCAACGATTCGCATCTCTGAGCGGTATTATGGGGGTGTGGGATTATTAGTTGACGCTAGTTGATGACGTTATCGGCACAGCTGTGCGCACAACACCGAGACGAGAAAAGTGTCGTGCGCTGGAACTAGCAAGCTGTACGAGCCCCAGCAAGCCAGACCTCACATCTCTTGATATTCTGTGCGAGAACTATTGGTTCGGTGCATGGAGTTTACAACCGAATAAATATCTCGTCGAGTACCGGTCGCTCGCAGATCTCCTTTTCCATTTTACCCCTCCTTCGAAAACTTTCAGACCATGTCTGTCATCGATACTACCAAGGACCTGTCAGCACTCTTCTCCCAACAGGTTCAGGCTACCCCCGACTTGGTTGCTTTAGAAGACGACAAGACTACATACACATACCAGGAGCTTCACGACAAAGTTGCTGCGCTTGCCGACCGGCTGCGGGGTCATGGGGTTGGCCGTGACAGCCTGGTTGGTGTCCTGTTGCCGCGATCCGCCGACTATGTAATCGCCTGCTTAGCAGCACTCCGTGCAGGCGGTGCGTTTCTGGTTCTGGAATTGGCCTATCCTCCTGATCTCCTTGCCGATGTTCTTGAGGACTCACAACCTACTGTTATAGTTACTGTCAGTGCAGAAGTCGGAAAGATCAAGGGGTCCACACCGCTCGTTGTTCTGGATGAAACCAGCTCAGATAAGAACGGCCAATTGGACGAGCACGATCTAAAGCCTTTGCCCGAAGAGACTGATTTGGAACGCCTGGCATTTGTTGCCTACTCTAGTGGAACTACTGGCAAGCCGAAAGGTATCGCCAACCCTCACAAAGCAGCAGTCTTTTCATACAATCTTCGATTCGGGCTATCTGATCTGCAACCGGGAGACCGTGTGGCTTGCAATGTCTTCTTCGTTTGGGAAATCATACGCCCGCTATTAAGGGGAGCAACTGTTGTGGCTGTTCCGGACGATGTGAGCTACGATCCACGCATGTTGGTCGACCTCCTTGCCTCCAAGAAGATTACCGAGACTCTTTTCACACCAACCCTATTCTCTGCTGTTCTTGCAAGACACCAGGCGCTCGCGACTCGGCTGCCGAATCTAAAGACTGTTTGGCTCAATGGCGAAGTAGTGACAACCGATCTTGCACGCCGTGGTATCAAGGCCCTCCCCAACGCCCGCTTGCTCAACGTCTATAGCGCATGCGAGACACACGAAATCGCCTGTGGTGACATCAAGGATATGCTTGAGAAGATTGACAAGGATGCTGCGTACTGCCCTGTAGGACCGCCACTTATCGACAAAAAGTACATCTACATTCTGGATGAGAGTGGCCAGAGGGTAGAAGATGGCGAAAATGGCGAGCTCTGCGTTGGTGGACACCTTCTTGCCCGTGGATATCTCAACCTTCCAGAGACAACTGAAAAAGCATTCATCAGGAATCCATACAGCTCCAAGATTGGTGCTAGAATGTACAGGACTGGCGACAAGGCACGCATACTTCCCAGCGGCCTGCTCGAAATCACCGGGCGTGTCGGCGCTATGATCAAAATTCGTGGATACTCGGTGGTACCAGGCAAGGTTGAGAACGCAATTCTGTCCCATTTGGCTGTCAGCCATTGTGCTGTGATAGCTTTTGGGGAGGGTATCGACCGCCAGTTGGTGGCATACATTGTTCGAGACAAGAACACATCGGCCGAACGCCCGGAGCTTGAGATCGACAGGACTGGGCGCAGCTCAACTGCTAGGCGCATGCTTATGGCCTATCTTGCTCATTACATGATTCCTTCGTTATGGGTTGAGATGGACAAGCTACCAACGAGTGATGTTTCTGGCAAGGTCGACCTCAAGGCTCTACCTCCCCCGAGACCATCATCACCTTCAGGAAGTGCACGCAAGTATGAACAAAGCCCAATTACTATCGAACAGATAACCCAAATCTGGGCGTCTATTTTGAATGTCAGCCCAAGCTCGATCACTCCTGAATACAACTTCTTCGATCTCGGCGGTCATTCACTTCTTCTTGCGGATCTGGCTGCGCGATTGTCAAATACTTTCGGTTTTCGGGTACCTGTTGCACGTCTCGCCCAACCTGCAACCCTGAATGGACATTTGGACACAGTTCGTGCCATTCGCGATGGTCATACCGCCGAGGTGCAAGAAAACCTCCCAGCCGTATTACGTGCAGACTCCGTCTTGGACAAAGAGATCCAGCCAAAAGACGCCAGGGTGTGTGCACTCAAGGACGCGAAAACTGTCCTCCTCACAGGTGTGACTGGCTTTTTGGGTGCTTTCCTTCTCCGAGATCTACTGGAGAGTACGTCTGCTCAAATTATCTGCATGGTCCGATTCGCCGATTCCTCACAAGATGATATCCCTGCCGGTATCGCTAGGATACGTAGGAACTTACTGGATTTTGGCCTCTGGAGCGACAACATCATGGAACGTGTGGAGATTCTTCCAGGCAATTTGTCTCGTAAGCGATTCGGTCTTGCCCCTGATACATTCAAAGATTTGGCCGAACGTCTTGATGTCATTGTTCACGCTGCCGCTACTGTCAACTTGGTGTACCCTTATGCTGCGCTGCAGAAGCCTAATGTTGGCGGAACACGAGAAATTCTACGTCTTGCGGCCCAGGGCGGTGTGACAGTACAGTATATCTCAACCAACGGAGTACTTCTTCCCGCAAAGGGCCGAGAAGGGTGGCCAGAAGACGCGATGCTTGATGTCAACGATGTTGTCAAGCTTGCTGATGGTTATGGACAAACCAAATGGGTCGCTGAACAACTCGCTTTGGAAGCTGGCCGAAGGGGTCTTCCCATAAAGATTCATCGCATTGGTACGATCAGTGGTCACAGCGAAACTGGTGCTGCCAACGCATGGGATCTCTTGACAGCCTTGATTGTTGAGTCTATCAGAATCGGTCATTATCCAGACGTCAAGGGCTGGCGCGCAGAAATGACACCGGTTGACTTTGTTAGCAAAGCTATCATCCATCTCAGTAACCAGACCGAAGCTGAGCAGCCAGTCTTCCATATCGGCGATCCCGACCCTGTTGATGTTAGCAAGGTCTTTGAGGATCTCAACGAACTAGGCTACCCAACTAAACCTATAGAGTTCACAAAGTGGATCCAACTCTGGGATGACAAGCGCGGCGCCGCTAAGGGTGGTGATGGCGCGTTCACAGTTGATATTCTCCGCAGCGGTATGCCCAGTATTGAATTTCTGAGGGATGTTGTGGTGCTCGACAACGCGAAGACACGGCCACTTCGTCTTGCTGTAGAGCGCCCAAAGGTTGATCAGGTACTTCTCGAGACGTACACACGTCACTGGTACGCTCGAGGCTGGCTTCCAAAGCCTCCTGTTCATCAAGACGCTGCTGGTGGCTCGGCTCGCCTTCCCCGAAGGGGTCCTCTATATGGCAAGGTCGTTGTTGTTATGGGTGCTTCATCTGGTATTGGTGCTGCTACTGCTACAGCTCTTGCACGAGAAGGCTGCCATGTTGCGCTTGCAGCACGGCGTATTGACGCTCTCGAAGATCTGAAGAAGAGCATTGTGGTTCGCGAGGGCAAGATCATCACCCAGAAGACCGACGTCACGGACAAGAGCCAAGTTGAAGCCCTTGTCGCCGCAGCAGAGAAGCAGCTGGGACCAGTTGATATCTTTGTCAATGTCTCGGGAGTCATGTACTTCACCATGATGGCCAACTCGTATACCGACCAGTGGAACCAAACCGTCGACGTAAACTGCAAGGGACTCCTGAACGTCATCGCTGCCATCGTACCTTCAATGCTCAAGCGCGGAAAAGGCCACCTTCTCGCCATCTCCTCAGATGCTGGTCGAAAGGTATTCCCTGGGCTGGGTGTCTACTCCGCTTCCAAATTCTTCGTAGAAGCTACACTACAGAGTCTGAGGCTTGAGACCGCTGGTACGGGACTCAAGGTCACTTCTGTGCAGCCGGGTAACGTCGCCACTGACTTGCTGGGGATGAGCACGGATCCAGAAGCATTGAAGAAGTACGGTGAGCCGAGTGGAGCCAAGGTCCTTGATCCAGAGAACGTTGCGGATAGTATCGTGTACGCGCTTAAGCAGCCGGATCATGTCAGCGTCAACGAGGTCCTCATTGAGCCTAGAGATGAGCCGATCTAGAGGCATATCTTTGGATTGAGTATTTCAAACTTCCACTATTGAAGGCTTTTTCGCATGCATGTCGTTACAATTCAGCGGAGGGAAAATAGCAGGCCTGGCGCAGCAAAGAATGGCTGATGGGATATCATGTAGATTTACTGCATCTTAGTTTCAGCACAAGACTTAGAGAATATATATAAGATTACAAGGTGTGAAGCATTTAGTGTGTTCTATACTTCGTGGACTTTACTTCTATCCTCTCATATACAGGGGTTGTACCTGCTACGAAGGATGTGAGTGAATTTGCAAGGTTGCTGAGCGAAAATGAGATTGAACAAGTTCAACATTGAACTTTATCTCGAATTGAGCAGCATATTTTGATTTCAAATCCAATCCCTGTCATACATATCTAGAGAAGGCTTGGTATACGTGTTCATCATACGTCAACCCAGAAGTGAGATCGTATAGTAGGCAAAGTCGCGCTAGAGTCTTGGCAGTCGTCGTCAATCCAACATTTCGTTGAAGGAACCGCGACACTTCCACAGCAAACCCACCCCGCATGACGAACGAACCTAAACCAGATAACGAGACGTCTAATACTACCACCTCTGGAAAAATGGCCGAAGAACCCTCCACTGCCGTTGTACCATCGCAAACCACAGCGGACAAAGAAGCGCCCTCAACCACCATGACCGCAAACGAAACATCAGCAGACAACACACCGACAGGCCAGGAGTCTGCCGCGAAAGAAGATGCAGTTGCTACCACGGCGACACCATCTGACCCCAAAGCCGCTCTCGCTGCGCGAATGGCACGCTTCAAGGCGCTCCAGGCGCAAAAAGTCAGCGGCCGAAAAGCCACAGAGCGCGAGGTCCGCGATGCCGAAGACCGCAGTGCGCGTCTTGCTCAAATTTCCAAACTCAGTGCTGCCCACGACAAAGCCTCTTACAAGCTTCTCAAGTCCGAAGACCCTGACTTCGAGCGCAAGCGGAACTGGGACTACACCATCGAAGAGAGTGAGAGCTGGGACAAGCGGCTAAAGAAGAAGGCCAAGAACAGGGAAGGCGTAGCCTTTGCCGACTACAGAAATGAAGCAAACAAAGTATACAAGCGACAAATCGGCCAAATGAACAAAGTCGACATGGAAGCATACGCCGAAGAGAAAGCCAGAAAACTCCAGTCCCAAGTATCCTCGGGCCTCCTCCAACTCGTCGAAACCGACACGGGCGAAATTTACACCATCGACAGCCAAGGTCGCATTAACACGCCCGTCGACGAAGCCTACAGCCACGACCACAAGCCTAGCAAAGAAGCCGTGGACCGCCTCGTCGAGGACCTCGAGAAGAGCGAGCGCTCTCGCTTAAAAGCGCGTGCCGCGCGCGGCATACGCGACGAGCAGGATATGGGCGATGTCACATATATCAACCAGAAGAACAAGCAGTTCAATGATAAGCTAGCGAGGTTTTATAATCGGTATACGACGGAGATTCGCGAGAGCTTTGAGCGCGGGACGGCTATATGAGTAAGGTTGGGATCTCAAGAGAGGAAAATGAATGGTGTAAATATACCCTAGCATATTTTTTTTGGAATGTTTAAATGGATGATGGCGTTGGCTTTTGAGGGCTAGTTTGAGCTGCATTGGAGAATTTTGGCGTTTGGATGGGGGTTGGGTAAATCAAGATATTATCAAGTCATGAATATAAGTTCTGCAGGGTTCGAGATGTCGGACTGGCTTTTTATGGTCTTATTATTAGATTTGGTATGCTCCGTCCGTTTTTTACATCATACTACTGAGCACTCGATTCACGTCCTGGCCTGGCTCCGGTTTCTTCATCGCCTTGCTCGTTGCCGTATGTTGCGAGAACTCGAGTCTACCCTTTCTCCTCTTGGGCTTCTCACCCGCTTCTTGTACTGCATCTGTTGTCTCTGGCGCATTCTGATCGGTATCGAGATCCTCGCCTCTCTTCCTTCGCGTAGCCTCAATCCCACTAACCACCTTGCCGCGCTCTACGTTCTCCAAGAACGCCTTGTTCTCCTTCTTGCCCTGCGCAATTTCGAATCTGAGTCGTGCTGCGCGTTCTGCATTCTCGTTTTGAATCTGTTCGACGAGATTGTGCCATTTGACGCCGCTCAGGTACCGGATATTCCAGACTTCGTCGTGCCATCTGCCTCTCTTCTTGCCGCCCATGGTCTGCGCATTGAGGTTCTCGGCTACGAATTTGGCGTCGCGCTTGTGTAGGAATTCGACCCAGCCATCGAGGAAGAGCTTACGGCGTGTGCCACCGTTGCGCAGCCGTTGCGTGCGCGCTGTGGAGGATTCGGGGGTGAGGAAGATGCGGCCAACGGCGCCGTAGGGCTGCAGTAGTGAACGAAGAACGGCGGGTTTCATAAACGGTGGCACGCGCGAGAGGTAGATGACGCCTGATTTGTCCTTTTTGAGTGAGGATTGGGGTAGTGCTTTGCCGAGTTTCGTGGATTGAAGTCTCAGTTCGGAAGGGAGGGATGCGGCGAGTTTCTCAAGGTGGGCTAATTCGGCGCTCTTGGAGGCAAAGGGTTTTGGCTCGTCTTCTTCTTCGTCTTCTGCGTTGTCATCGTCGCCTTGAGACTCCGCGTCTTCATTGTCATTTTCCCGGTCTTCCTCTGCTTCTGAATCATGGTCTGTCTTTTGTCGCTTCGATGCCGGCAGCATGCGCGCTCTACTCTCCTCCTCGGAATCATAGCCCCTCTCATCGTCGTCGCTCTCCTCTACGTCGAGGTACTCGTTCCGTTTGCGCGTCGCCATGTTTTGTTTGTATTTGATTGGTTTAGGAATCCAGTAATTGGGATCTTCTCGAGGTCTGCAACCAATCCGTTTGCGACAAGTAAAGACGTGCTGTATTGAGGAACCTCGAAGCCGCTCGCTCGAAACTTTTGCGGAGAAGTCGCGGAGGTGAACTTTTGGGTGGGGCCTGGCTTAGCGCGTCTTGGCAGTCCGTGGCGCATCTTCGCAGATGTGTACCAGCCTTCCATCATTCTTCCACCTCCCCATATAACCAAAATTTCCTACTCGCACCTATAACATCCGTGTAGCGCAACTGTATTCGCGTCTAACATAATACCAAGGCCACATATTCAGACGCGCACCAAACACTTGTCGCAATCATGGGTGGAGAGTAAGTCATTTATCCTAATTGTCTGCATCAAAGCTAACCAGCCCAGTTTAAATTTGAAGAAAAGTTGGCATCCCCACCTCTTCAAGAACCAGGAAAGAGTATGGAAGGAAGAAAAGGCCGCCCTCGAGGAGCGCAAGTTGATCGACAAGCTTCGCCGAGAACGCGAAGAGGAGGCTGCGCTTGAAGAACTACAAAAGTTGCAGGCAGAGTCTGGTGGAAAGGTCGTGCAGCGAAGAGTCGACTGGATGTATGCCGGCCCCAGCGGTGATAGCGGCATTACGGAAGAAAGAGAGGGCTATCTACTTGGAAAGCGCAGGATCGATAACCTTCTTAAATCAAACGACACGCAAAGTCTGCAGAAAGGCGCACCAGTCAGCATTGGTGCTATTGGCGAGCCCAGCACGAACATAAACAACGCCCGCGATACACAAAAGAAGGTCCTCCAAGACCCACTCCTCATGATACAGAAGCAAAAGATGGAAATGCAGCTGAAGGCCATGAAGGATGCTCAGAAGGAAGCCAAGTACGCTGAAAAGCGAGAGAAAGAGAAGGAACGCGAAAGGAAACACCGAAACAGGGACAGAGAGAGGAGTAGGGATCGGGAACACAAGCATCGGAGTCGACACAATCGATCGCGCTCGCCACGCAGAAGCGAAGATCGTGGGCATCGCCGTGAACACCACCGTGAACACTACAACCACAAGAGACGGTCAAGGTCGCGGTCACGATCACCACATCGAAAGCACAGTAGCCGGCGAGAACGCACACGTTCGCCGCCCAGGAGAGAGGATCGAAGGGAGGATCGTAGAGACTTTCGCGACCGCGACAACTACCGAAGACGTGATCGCTCTCCTCCGAGAAAACAAGTGGATGATGCTGAAGCCCGTCAAAGTGCAGCCGATCGTCTTGCTAGTATGCAAGCAGAGGCAGCATCATTGGAGGAGCAGCGAGCTGAACGAGTCCGACAACAGGAGATTAAGGATGCAGAAGAGGAGGCGAAGCACAAACAAAACATGGATGGCGGGCGACGCTTCATATCTAGTGTTCGCGGACAGGCGTCCAGTATGGATCTGGGGGATGCCATTGCTCGTGGGCGTCCAAACTTGAGAGCAGATTTAGACCCTTAGGGCTTCCTGGTTGTTTTAATGGTTGCATGGTTCTTCTGAGCGAATTGATAGTAAATTGATACCCTGGTGAAATATTCTTCGTCAATATTGAAGTTGAATGTGCGCTCGTATAAGTCGTAAGCATGGAACTTACAAGTGACGTAAATGCAAGAACAATTGCTTGTGCTCTCAGGCATGCTTACATACGGATTATAGCGCATTATGGCTGCTGCTTGGAACAAGTAACATTGCCTGTTTTCTTAACTACGGCTATTAATCCCGTCTTAGGCTCATGGCAGCCGAAGCTACAGCAAAGACATTGCTCTAAGCAGATTCTATGTTGGTTACACCACCACCTCGACGCACATTGGTCCCAATAACCCCTTTCCTCCATGACGCGCCAAGACCACAATCATCGTCTGACGCTCATTTTATGCCAGTCACTTGACTCTTTCCTCAACCTCATCACACTGTTGATTCGATGATCTTCTGGCAAACGCGAGTATATTACCGGGAACTCTGCCCTTTTTATAATTTGTCGTTAACATTGCCTCCAGATTCATCGTGAATCCTCAGCTACTAGTACGATTTACACGCGATCCCTTGGAACAGCCTCTTCAATCCACAAGGAACTACCGACCCCCGTTCCAGCCCGCAGTTGGTGCAAACAAATCATCCATGCTATCGCCGTTGTCTTTCGCAGTTTTCGAATCTCGAACAGTGTACGATCGGGTTACCTCGATTTGACGGTTCAATTTGTTGCTGGCCTGCTTGCGCGCATTTTTTTCTGCGTTTGTGCTACGTAGCTCAAACTTTCCTCCATTGCTGTGCTTCCTGAACATCTTGAATTTTCGAACTCTGAAGCGATTCCCGCTTCCATTACGACTCGAAAGAGACAATATCCATGGCATGTGTCGTTGTATGAAGGGTTTCAGGAGTGCCCCACATGCGCAAATGACGCCACCATTGAGTTCAATCGTGGAGAATATACAAGCTTTGGCGATATTGTAAGTTGAGTCAGGATTGCTGATCATGCTGTAGACGTAAATGATACGAACGGTAGAGATGACGACCACACTGGCAACATTAGCATAGGACCATATAGAGACTGAATGTGCACATGTCCTTACCCGGATCCCAATGCGAACACAAATCCCAGTAAGACTTTTTGTTTCATCGGCAGCTGCAAGGCGCGTAACATTGGTACTGGTAGGCACAGGATCAAGAAGTCCGTGATAATGTTGATACATGCCATGAAAAGGTTAAGATCTGTAAGGCATTTCTGGTCGCTATGGTATTGTGGATTGCACGGGCCGGCAGCGACAATGGTGATTGCTAGCGAATATCCAGATACAAGGCCTGTTAACGTGTATATACAGGAGCGAATCTTGGAATCCGGGTTGAGGCGATAGTAGAGTGCTAATAAGGAGAGCTTTGCGAGTGCAGGCGTCCAGACATACACTACCATTATGCCGACGAGCATCTTCGTGTAGACTTGGAGCTGTTCTACAGTCACATTCCACAGGTGTTGGCCGAAGCCGTATTTGAATGCTATAGGTATGTCAGTTACAGTTGACGAACAAGTGCCATGGAATGTACCTTCGAAACATATTACCAACCATGCGACACACCCAAGCCAGCTGAGAACTACCAACACATCATCCAATCCGGTCAACCGACGAATGAAGATGCGTGTATACAGCCGCAACCCAAGTATCATGGACGAAAAGGTTGTCATAACCACATATACCACAATGATCCTCCTCTGAAGGTCAGTCTTGCCATCCAAGTCTTGATCACCATCATCAGGTACAGGCAAAACGCCCACTTTTGTTCTGTCGGAACTCATCACACCACCAAAAGAACTTTCGGAGATTGTAAAAAGAGACAGAGTATACAAAACGGAAGCGAACCCTCCAGGAGTTGGGCCATACCCCCGGATCTGCAGCAAACTTATCTTTGTGGGGAGCTTGAGTTACCTTTCCACCGATTTCACCACGGTGAAACCCAGAAGACCATGGTTCGTGTAACATTTACGTTCAACAGTGAAACCATAAGACGCAGTAACTAGCAAGCCGCTTACGAACGTGCGCTTCTCCAACACTTCTTCCTGGTAGTGAATGCGTAGAAGTATTGACAGAGCTGCCATGACGGCGCATGAAGAAATCAATGATATGCACAATTATGCAGCTGCTCCGAGTTGACCTGGCCGCGTTGTCACTGGTCGCTGCAGCCATCTGGGTTCCTACATGGAGATCCTAACTGTCGCGCAAGCCGTTACATTGCCTACTCGATCACTGACTGGTTTACGTGCCGATATTACATATCATGGGTTGGAGCACGTTGCCCGTAGCTCCACTCTATTACGCTAGCCAATAAGATCATGTCTAGAGAATAAGGGTTTCACGACCTGCTTCGCTTTTGCTGAAAATTAGATGAATTGGGACCGCTAGAAAACTTCACGGTTATCGACAAGTTGCAAGCCTAGTCAAACATGAGTCACTAGTGGATTCTGTGTGATGGTGTGCGATAGTGTACGACAAAGCGCGGCAGCGCAACGTTTTTGGCCAACATGCGGAGTCAGCAACAAAGGATACGGAAAGATGCCGGTTGTGGGATACACTAACACAAACATGCAGTCTGACAAGCAGACTGACTGCGGAAATGGATTAGACCCTGATTCAGCTTTCGGGACTACCGATCAATATCTCATACAGGTTGCCGCCACGTGTGACTGTGGTCCCCGGAGCAAATACGTTACACCTTCTCCTCTTCCACGTTTTGCACGATCAACCACCCTGCTGGATCTACGAAGAAGCGTATCTTGGATTGTCTACTGATATATATTGTTCGTATCCATTGACATGTCAAACAGCTAATGAAATCAGAAAGGAGCAGTTGACTTCAATAGTGAAAGAGCGATTGTATGTCGGTTATCGCCTTCACTATTTCTTTGTTGCTACCAACACTCAACTCATCGCAACACCATCAGCCCCGCGCACCACCGGAGCCTTGCCTGTAACGAGCCATGGAGTCGGTTTTCACTATTGTCCTTGTGTTCGCACCACTCTCGGCTGTTATCTTACACGAGTCTGTCCTGCGCAAAGTGGAAGTTGATCATCTGGCCCTTCCAATCATTGGATCAGCGGTTACGACCTATTGGATCCTCGTATATTACACGGGTTTCATCGCAGCGACACTGGTGACGAGCTCCTTCTGGGTACCGCTATGGTTGTACACAGGAGCCTACCGCGCTTTCTTCCATCCCCTGAAAAATTACCCAGGACCCTGGGGAGCGAAGCTCTCGCGATGGTGGACAATCAAACAGACATGGGATAGCGATTTGCACTACCACAGGGTACTACAAAGGCTCCAAAAGCAATATGGCGATTATGTTAGGACAGGTCTGTTACGATTCGTACCTCCTTCCAGATGCAATGCTGATCGAAAATAGGACCACGTGAACTCACCATATTCGATGCAGACGCGATCCAACCTATTCTTGGGACCCGGTCGAAAACTACCAAAGGACCGTTCTTCGATGTCATGGAAAGGTCGCTGCATTTGAATCGCGACAAGGGATTTCATCGCCAGCGACGCCGGATCTGGGATAATGCGTTCAAGACGTCGCTGTCCACCTATGCTCCAGAGGTTGAACACTTCACGGACCAGTTACTTGCAAAACTTCGCAGCAAGGAAGGACAGCTAATTCCACTCTCGGAATATACTTCGCACTATAGCTACGATGCCATGGCGGCACTGGCTTTTGGCAAGTCCATGGGCTTCATCAAGGGCGAACAGAGCGATGTCGCTGCAAGTATCCTCGCCACGTTTACCAACAGCGTACAAGCCCTGGGATATATGTATCACATGCCGTGGCTCATGAACACAATCGGAGTACTTACCTCGTTTGCCGGGCCCATGAAAGAATGGCGAGACTGGAGCGTCAGCCAAATGCGTGCACGAATGAAAGTACGTACTATACATGCGATGAACCTGCCCCGAATCTAACCATTACTAACGCTTCTCCAGGTCCGAGACGCAAGACCAGACTTGATCTCGCACCTCATAGTCTCCACGCCCAAGACCCCCGAAGGCCGCGAACTCCTCTTCGGCGAATCGCGCCTCATCATCTCCGCAGGCAGTGAAACAACATCCACAGCCCTAACCTTCATCTTCATGCACCTCGCCACACACCCACACTACATGACCGCCATCCGCACAGAGTTCCTCGCCAATGCCCACAACTACGATTGCCAACACCCACTCCCTTTGCTCGAAGCCGTAATCTACGAGTCGCTGCGCATATGGCCCTCTGTCTTCTTCGGCTCCCAGCGCGTCACGCCGCCCGAGGGTATGGACATCGACGGGCACTTCATTCCGGGCAACACAATCGTGCATATTCCGCTGTTCCCGCTGTTTCGCGACCCGAGGAACTTTGTTGCGCCTGATGAGTTTATCCCGGAGCGCTGGACGACGCGGCCAGAGCTTATGCGGAATAGAGCGGCGTTTATACCGTTTTCGACGGGGCCGTATAGTTGTGCGGGTAAGGCGCTGGCGATGATGGAGTTGAGGAGTGTGGTGGGGAGAGTGATTGCTGAGTTTGATGTTAGGCTTGATGAGGGGGTTGATGTGAATGCTTATTGGGAGGGTATCAAGGATCATTTTACGGCGGGGGCGCCGAAGGTGATGGTCAGATTTGTTAGAGCGGCTTGAACGGGCGTGTGTCTTGGGTAATTCTGACAGAAATGGTAATGAGGGCTGAAGGGATGAGGTAGAGACGAATAAGGTATCTGTTTTGTAAAGGACCTGGTCTAGTCCAATCGATTAAACATACTACAAAATAAATCTACTAATATACATGTTGAACCACTCTAAAAAATATGTGTCATACAAACCGAACCCCCTCCCATCTTGTTTTCTCAAAAATCCAGCAGACTCTTTCCCGGAGCAGACAAACCAACGACCGGCGTCGGCAGACCCTCCTTCACAGGCTGAGCGCTAGGCACACTGAACACACCCTCCGCCTCCCAATCATCCTCGTAATCGCTATCATATTCCGAATCCCACTCGCTATCCTCGCTCTCATACTCATAATCGTCATCATCGTCATCACTCCACTCCACTCCTTCCGCTGCATCCTCATCAACCCAATCCGCATCCCCCTCCGTATCCCCATCGTCGTCGAAATCGCGCGTAGTAACAACCACATTCGTGACCTCGGGTATCTTGTGAAAGTCCTGGATACTCAAGCCCGTCAGAGAGCCAGTAAGCAGTCCGTTTCCCACCGTGTACTTTCTCATTTCACCGTGTTCATTATTTTCTGTGCATTCGCGTTGCAAGTTTAGTTGCACAATGCGGTCTTCGCCCCAGAAATTGATATGGTCGAATCGCACGGTCTCGAGCGTTTTCCACAATGGCATATCTTCAGACGTGAGGCGGTAGATGATTGAACCGGGGTATTTCAGCCTGCAGTGCGACGAGTAGAGCGTTTGCAATCCGGATAGTGCTTTGAACATTTCCGTGAGATCATCCGGACCATCTTGCCACTTTGTCGGCCTGGTGAGATCTTGCTCGTATAAGCTGAGTTCGGTGAGCTTAAGGTACTTGACGCTGGATGCGTAGGCCCGGTTTTCAAGCGCGGTGCGGAGGAAGAGGTCCCAGCGGACAGTGCCCCATGTCAGGCTCATGTTTGTCGCGATGTGGGTTGACGAGATGCGATTCAGGGCATGCGCGGTCAATGAAAGGCTGATTATTGGGCGGTAAAGTGTGGGCGATTGGCCATTTTCCGAGTCGTTGACGCTGTGGCGATCGGGCGTGAGATAGACGCAAATTAGGTGTAGAATGGGTTCAGGAAGTGAAGGTAAAGTGGTCAGAGACATTGTAGTGTTTGTATAATGTAACGAACGAATGTGTAGAAAAAAGCCAAAAGTGGGAGAAGGGAAGAAATTGAAGTGGGATTGGGGACTGCTGAGGGGAAATTGGTCGCGACGAGAGGGACGCGTATCGATGATGTAGACGCGTCGCGATTAGTACACTAGACTAAATGCGGCATGGTGATGGACTTTGGTACTACAGGAAGTCTACACCCACTTTCATATCATGTGATTATGCATACTGCTAATCACAGCCAGCTGTAATGAGTTGCGTCTACTTTGCGCATATTTTCCAACTTCATGTGATCGTTTTCTGAAAGTCAGTCCCAGTGCGCGTGTATTGAAAAATATTTATGGCTGCTGAGATTTGTCCCCAAGGTTTTGAGATTTGTCCCCAAGGTTTTGAGATTTGTCCCCAAGATGAGATTTGTCCCCAACGCTAGTGCTAGTGTAAACTTTCTCTCCAACTTAGCTTAGTGCGTAATCTTCGAATCCGCCATATCCGCACCACTACTAGATATTTACTGCAGGTAAACGCTCATCGAAAAACGTAGCTGTCTAGCTTATTTTCTTATTCTTGAACAACATGGGCGATATTACACCTCCTCTAGACCAGCTCTACGGTTCCTATGAAGAAGCATACAGCGCGCTTAAAGCGC